CTCTTAAGAGCTTCTTTGTCTTGAGATCCCTGGCTCCAAACTTCCTGATGGTTCCACATCTGCATATGTATAAGACTAGCTACTGCTTTGGGCAAAGAGATGAGGCCAGGTTTGGTTTCTGCTTTTCAAAAAATGCTTTTAAAAATCCTTTTGGTGAACAATATTTTTTCTGCCTTTTTAATATTTCCTTCTCTGGGTTAACTTCCCACACAGATAACTTTAAATAGTGGGTAGATATGTAGAATTAGGGCTTTTTTTGTCACAGAACGGAGTTCCTGCACCTTTTTTGGATGGAACCTTGTAGGGTACGCAAGGCGGGTTGTATAACATGTGTAAGTTCTGGCACCTTTTTTTTTTATTACAAAAAAGCACTGTGTAGAATTAACAGAATAACAGAGTTGGAAGGGACCTTGGAGGTCTTCTAGTCCAACCCCCTGCTCGAGCAGAAGATCCTATTCCATTTCAGACAAATGGCTGTCCAGTCTCTTCTTAAAGGTTTTCAATAATGGAGCACCCACATCTTCTGAGGGCAAGCTGTTCCACTGCTTAATTGTTTTCACTGTATAGGAAATTTCTCCTTAGTTCTAGGTTGAATCTCTCGATTTGTTTCCACCCATGGCTGCTTTTTCTGCCTTCAGGTGCTTTGGAGAATAGGTTGAATCCCTCTTCTTTGTGACAACCCCTTAGATATTGAAACACGGCTATCATGTCACCCCAGTTCTTCTTTTCATTAAACTAGATGGTTCCTCCAACCTTTCTTTGTACGTAGCCTCATCTTTGTTGCTCTTCTCTGCACTCTTTTTAGAGTCTCAACATCTTTTTTTATATCTTCTTTTAAGTTTATAAGCAGCTTTCTATAACCAGCTGAAGGCACACATGGCGACTGAGGAGAACTTCTTGTCCCGCCCTCTGCATGCGCTTATTTACATTTTATTTTCTAACTTCCAATTGACCTCCTGCAGGCCAGACAAGGCCAGCTGAAGGGCAGGATGCAGTCTATGATATAATACGGGCAGATGCAGCTGGTGCTCTAGTATTCAGACAAACTGGATTTATATCATGATCTCTACTTACATCTTTTTATATCTTGTTTTAGGTGCGTCTGGTGTGATGCTGTTTGGAATTTCCCTTTCAACCTCCGGTGGTATTAAAAATATATAAATTCAGCTTTTAAAATTTGTTGCATTCAAATATGAATCATTTTCCAAAACCGATTTACAATATTGCCACTTAATACTGTGTGAAAAAGTGATCCCACCAGCTTATTACACTTCCAGCAATTTTTAGAAAGAATTATCCATTTTAGCAATCAAAACTGGAGCAATAAAACATACTGATTTTCATATATACATACATACATACATACCAGCAATAAAACATACTGATTTTCTCTATAATATTTGGAATAAATTTAATATTCTTCCTTTGACAATCCAATGTTGCATTCTAATTGCACTGCATTTAGGTTGTGCATCTATTTATCTTTGACTCTTTCAGGTTCTGAGTCATCCTTCACCAATGATTTGATTTATAAATCAAACTTAAAAAAATTCCATATTGCATATTGGTTTCCAAATTCAGCTAAAGCTTCTCTATATTAGCACTGGTTTCTGTAATTCCTAAAATGTTATGCTACTTATTTAGAGATCATGAAACCAGACCGTTGTGTTTAATAGAATAGCTATGTTATAATACATCCTTGGCTAAGTTCCACATAATAGCGTTTGCAGTTGGGCTTTAGCTGCAAATAACTTAATTGCAGTTCTGTGCCTAAAACAAAATGATCAATTTAGATAAATGAGGCCAATTTATGCCAATTTTGAGATGCTTAAGATAAACGTTTCAGCTTTTTTCAGTTTTATTTCTAGGAGAATTTATAGTGGGTTTTGATGGCCAAATGAGCGGCATGGTGGCCTAGTGGTGAAGACACTCAGCTCCCATTCAGAAGTTTGAGAGTTCAGTCCTAGGTAGCGGCAGATGTTTCTATCCTAGTGTGTGAAGAAAAAAATACCTGCCAACTCCACATAAGCGTCAGGAAGGGCATTCAGCCAGTAAACTGCTCAGCTCCATCCAGTCGCCCCAACTCTACCCAGAATAGGGACTATAGGATCTTTAAAAGGGAGAGGTTTTTTGATGGCCAAATGTACCTCTAGGTTCGTGCCTTGGTATGTTGGACCCCAATTAAATATTTAGATCAGTTAATTTACAATTTATCTGGAGCTTTTCAAGATAAAATCAAAATCACGTGAAGTGTTAATACCACTTTACAATGCCTTGGTAAGGCCACACTTGGAATACCGCATCCAGTTTTGGTCACCGCGATGTAAAAAAGATGTTGAGACTCTAGAAAGAGTACAGAGAAGAGCAACAAAGATGATTAGGGGGACTGGAGGCTAAAGCATATAAGGAACAGCTGCTGGAATTGGGTATGTCTAGTTTAATGAAGAGAAGGACGAGGGGGGACATGATAGCAGTGTTCCAATATCTCAGGGACTGCCACAAAGAAGAGGGAGTTAAGCTATTTTCCAAGGCGCCTGAAGGCAGGACAAGAAGCAACGGGTGGAAACTAAGCAAGGAGAGAAGCAACCTAGAATTAAGGAGAAACTTCCTGACAGAACAATTAACCAGTGGAACAACCTGCCTCCAGAAGCGGTGAATGCTCCAACACTGGAAGTTTTTAAGAAGAGACTGGACAGCCATTTGTCCGAGATGGTATAGGGTTTCCTGCCTGAGCAGGGGGGTTACACTAGATGACCTCCAAGGTCCCTTCCAACTTTACTATTATTATTATTATTATTAAAAAGGATTCTGGTTTTACAAGAGAGAGTGAGCTTGGAACATAGATTTTTATTCCTTTTTATAGTTTGCACAACAAAGGTACTTCAAAGTAAAAGTTGATTGGTTTAGGAAAAACCATTTGCCCAATTACATCATGAAAAATTAGACATCCAATAATATGTAAGCATAAGAATTGAAAAGAGGATTGTATTAAAAGCATAACAAGTAAAATGTTAGCATGGGAAAAGACATCATGAGCACCATAGAATTTGTTGTGAAAAGATATAATTTCAGCTAAGTTTAAACTTCTTAATGTGCACAATTGAAAAAGAAAGCCTTTTGTTATTCAGCCTGAGAAAGTTGTTATCTTGCAGTTAGTTACAGCAAGTTTGTTACTAAAGGAAAACTTTAACATTCCATTCGTATAAGGTTATGCTCAAAATGCAAGCTAAATTAAAGAAACTAAACCCACGTTAGTTTGCCAGTGCAACAATAATACCAAAACAGATTGTTCATTGCTGCTTCATCTCCTTTGCTGGCTGTTCATATATTCAGGAATTGTCTTTGTCCATCAATTGTCCTAGATTCCTCACTAATCAGGTAATGTCCTAGACTCCTCACTAATCAGGTAGTCACCCACAATCGACCAAAAGAGAAAGACCAGAAGTAATCTTATCAAATGCTTGTCACTTCCTGTTGCCAACAGTTAATCAGGCATTCATTGAAACTGCCCATAAGAAATCTAAGAAACCCCTAAATACCTCCTGGAAAATATTCAGATCCATAAGACACTTGAGGTGGTCCTTCTGTTTTTTCCTTGGAGACTCTGTATGGCACTCAACCTCATCTGAACCAGGAAGTAATCTGGCAAAGCAAAATAACTAAGAGGAATGCCCTTCATTGCTGTTCAACTGCTCTCAGACAAAAGTAATATCCAGTATGTGACAGTCTATCAACTGCCACCTTATGCTTGCTTGTGCTTCACTGCTATGCATTGACAGACTGCCATAAACTGTGGGGACGGGGAATGAACGAGGTGATGTTTTGGGAAATGAAAGTAAATGCTGTATCTCCTCGAGATGCTGGCTCAAGGTCATCCAGCTGGAAGGAGAGGAGTGTTTCCCTGACTACGCTTGGACGGACCATTAGGAAAACATCTTGTCTGAACCTGATTGGTTACACTGGGGTGAGCAATGAGAGAGTTAAGGGAGGGAAAAATAGAATTTAGGGATTTTGGTGGGTGATTTTTAGTTCTGGCTTTGCACTACTGCAAAACACTTGATCTCTAATAAACTATTCCTTTCTCAACAAATGGAGTCAAGGATCATTTTCATTTAGATGTTTTGAATTATGGCAGGTCTGACACAGTCTTTATTTGTTGGGCTCAAGATTGCTTGGGACAAGCCCATGATTACGATGGAGGCCAT